GTTTGATAATTGGGCAAATCGAGTAATTGTAACGTCAGGCTGTTTTAAGGTTGCGAAATCCATTCAGGAGTCAAAGAGATGGAGTTTCCATTTAGATTACAGCAGACTAGTCATCAGCCTTGCTACACATGGCGAATAATTCTATATAACACATACTAGTCAATATACGAATGAGTCTAAATTTAAGCCCTGCTACCACATGATGAATGATTCTATATAACACAAACTAGTCATTATATGAACAAGTCTAAATTTAATTGGGTATTTGAATAAATTTAAGTTTGATAGGGTGTATATTTTCAAGTTTACATTATTAAAAGCATAGATTGTATTTCTCTTATTATTTATGGAACTTTGCACCTATGCTATTTGAAATTTGTATTTTTTTAATGTTTTGTGTAGATGTGCATATGTCATTCAATTTGTATGGTCACTAAATTTGACTTGACCTGAGAAAATTCATTTCGGATTGGTTTGTAGATAAACATTTCAGTTGCTACGGGTTAATTGGACACATGTACTTACCTGACATCATATACAATGCAGGGACAAAATACTGGTGCCTACTTGTATTTTTGCCTTAAACCATAGTTTATGTTGATATGTGCTTGTACGGGAACTTTATCAACTAAATTAGCTATAAAAGTTGCAATGCATCTGTAAAATATGATGAAGGAAATCCATTAATTGTGCACCCGTTAAAGTAGTGTAGAGAATCAGACTCTGGGATCAACTTGCCACTTAGGTCCTTCCCAGTGCTCCACCGTGGACAGGTGCTAAGCATGCCACATAAGCAAAAATGTGACATGGCACAACATTTAAGGAGGGGAGAGAGTACTTTGGTGACCCCAGGAAGAACCAATGCCAAGCGCGAGAACCTAGGCAAACCACTTAAATGAGACAATTTGGCCAATGCATGAAAGACTTTAGGTGCTAACTCATTAAATAAAGTCTGCTTAGCAACAACAAGTTAAGCACCTATGCATTGGAGACTTGAGTTGCTAAAATATTTAATGCACTTAGCACCTCATCTAAGCATCTTTGCATTGGGAGAGGTCTTAGTGAAAGATGGGGACCATGTTCTTTTGACTGCAGACGCTTGGGAGCCCAAACAAGATTCTAGTCTCGCCCATTTGAGCCGCTTTTAGTCCTGGCGTCCAGCAGCCTACATGCACTTAAATGGAACCGGAGAGCGGTCAACAAGCCTACATGCACTTAAATGGAACCGGAGAGCGGTCAACAACCTAAGAGAGTCACCGATGGAGTTAAATTGTGAGATGTAGATCTTTGTCACTGTTGTCCAAGGGGAGAATGGCATGCACGTTTAGTTTGTGGCTGAATGCAACCCCATTGCTGTTCCGTAGTCCTAGGTCGGCATACCCCAACGTACTTATCGGATGAGATGGCGGCAGTCATAATAGAGTAAATAAACGATAGATCAACTACCATGATCTAGATGGAGTCTTGTTCCCAAATTGATTTTCCGGGTCATGTATATATGTGCAATTTAACCCTTGCCACATTACCTAAGATCTAACAGTCTATAATTTAAATGGTAATACCCATAGTTTAGCTGAGTAATTGGTTTCTTATGACATTGGTCATTATGTTTGGATAAGATAGGTTGTAAGCTTGATGAGAAATGTCATTTTTCCTCTCGAAACAGGCCTTCACCCCGCTTTATTATAGATAAAGCACTAACTGAGGTGAGGTAGCCGAACGATGCAATATGGTGAGGTAGCCCTCTTACAAAATCTATCCGGCACACGCAGAACGCACGCGACTACGCTACCGGCAACAAACACCGGAAGAACTAAACACCTCCATGCTACGACCTAGCACACCTAAGCTCCACGACAACGGCGTCAAGAGGGAAGACTACACAGAGCGTCCACAACGGACACATGTCTTCACCCGGAGCCCTCACACGAAGAGAAGAACCACAGCGACATCTTAAAAGAAGATTGCGGCACCCTCGAGTGTCGGCGTCGTCAGCGCCGAGGTACAGACCTTTCGCTCAGCAGCTCACCCGTGCCACTACGAGGCCGCCAGGAGGAGCGCGATGATGAAAGAACCCCAGATCCATAACGGGACGCCGCCCATCTAGGGGAGGGGGCACGTCTGAGCTACCCGACGTAGCACCACCAGTTGCTCACACAACCCAGAAGTGGAGCCACCACCACCGCTATGGGGCCCACCGAAGAGCAACCATGCAGACCGCCATCCGGGCGCGCGCTCCGGCATCCCTGTCGCTAGATATCGTGTGTTGCACACATCACAACACACTCAGCCATGGTAGGATGAGTGACGGTACTCCATCTACTCATAGCCCGACATCAGTTCCCGAGTCTAGGTAGGCGCCTCCACCGTAGGAGGCACCCACACCCGCGTCCCCAGCCAATGCCAGGTGGACCGGGGGGACACGACTCTGAGACTGCCGATGGCCACCGGCGAGCCAGCAACGGCCCATGGCCAGACGAGCTCACATGATGCCATGTCTGTGGTCACCGGCGTTGATCCGCGCACCAATGCAACAATAACACTACCACCACCATCGAGCACCGCACCCGCAAGGAAAGCACGAGCACCACCCGCGGGCACCTCCCGGCTTGGCACGCCCGAGCATGAACCCTAGATCTACACCTACCGCCAGCACACGTCTAGGAGAAGGAGGTTGCCACCGCCGCCCCTCCCCACCTGCAGACCTGCAACTGCCACGGCGCTATAGCACCCCCAGACGCGCACCACCGTCTAGCCCCAACCTATCCACAACGCCTATCAGGGCTGAGCCCTCCATCACCAGTCACCACGACCGAGACCGAGCCGTGGCAGCCAGCCAACGCCAACTAAGCCCGGGCCGCCTACCAGCCAAGCTGGTCGTCGTGGTCGTTGGTCCTCGCCATGAGTAGCGGCAACCCTGCAGATTTGGCGCGTCATCCCCGCCGCCAGAGTACGCACCGCCACCACCAACGCCGCGGGACGCCCTCCTGCACCTTGCGGCCGCTCCAAGAATGCCGCCCCGCCGGCGACCGTTCCGCCCGTAGCCCACATCGCCCGCGAGGCACCTCCCAGCCCGATCCAGATCAAAGGCAAGGGGAGACACCCCAGTAGGCATGCTCCACCACCAGAACACCGCCCGTCACACAAGCCAGGCCCTGCCGGCACGGAGACAATGCCTGAGAGATAGAGAAGTAACAAATGAGCAACTTAGGATTAGTTAACTGGGGCTTGACGCATCTATAGAAGTGGGAGGCATCTGGACACGCGGTCCTTGAGTGAGCTCAAGGAAAAGCACTAGGATGATCTACCCAGGGAGTTGGTGTTGCGATCGAGGCAACACTTTAAATTGTCGTGGTGCGAACGGATTAATTGACAAGAGGTGAGTCATCAACAAGCCAAAATCAGAAGAAACATAGAAGACATAATGTCAAGATTAGGAGGAGATGGTTAGTGATAATCTTAAGTTAGAAGCTCGATGGCGACGTGAGTCCATAGTGCATGACAGTCGTGTCCGGCTTGTATGCCGTGTTAGCTAGATGTGTTCTAGTAGGTTTCTTGTAGGTATAGGCTTAGGTTAATTATGATGAAGGTTGCCGGTGATTAAGAGTCTTTGTAGTACTAGGAAGGTCTAGTACAAGTCGGTTTCAAGAGCAAGTACATGTAGGTTTAGGAAGTCTACGGGCTGGCTGCTCCTGCATATATATGTGCACGAGGGGCTGCAGCGAGCACAAAAAGGAGAAAATAAAGAGGAAAATAGGGCCACCATGGAACCAGCGCACCAGAATAACAACCACCGATGATGAAGAGACAAGTAGCTCGGAAGAGTTCAACCTGTAACACATGAACAATGACGAAGGAAGTCCAGATCCACGTGGATCTACCTAAGACAAACGCCACCGAATCCCATGAGAGATTCGCCGGAGACAAGTCTCCACACGCCCTCCGATGACGCTAGAAGCACAACCGGGACAGGGGCTAGGTGCGGTGAACCTTATTCCATCTTCAGAGAGTCACCGTCGCCTCGTCTCTCTAAGAAGGACACAAACCCTAGCAAAACTCATAAACGCATATAAAAATGGAGCCCTCCCGCCGGCAAGGGCCGAGATTCACCACGCCTCTATGGCCCTATAAGATAACAACAGACGAGGTGTAGATCGGTGGCGGCGCCGACGGGAGGCACAAGAAACCCTAAGCAGTTGGGTTCCCTTGGGTATAGCGAAGGGTTAAGCTATATATACAATGACATACATGTATATGTATATAGTACATCAACATGTTAGATTATTTGAGTAATCTCAGTTTAAATTCAATGCCTGGAACACCAGAACTTTGAATGACCCTTCCTCTAGGCCGTCTAGTCACAAATTAGAGGGA